AAGTACGCATAGGGGGACTTATGGGGTCCCTATGATTAGGAATCACATATGGTATGGGGCTTGGGGCTTGGGGCTTGGGGCTTTGGGTTTTTCAGGATTAGGCCTTAGGGCTTCTGGAGTTTAAAGGTCAAGGCTTGGGCTTTCGGGGTTAGGGTTACGTTGTCAGATTTAGGGTTAGCCATTCGCTTGCAAAAGCCCATGACACGGCTTGCCCGTCTGTAACGAGCGTAAACCTTGTGGAGCAGAAGAGCATGATTACGCAACCCCACAAACCTAACTCAGCCTGTAATGCAAAAAACCCTGTCTCAAAGGCCTGCCGCCCTAAATTGAATAGTCCAGAAACACGTTGGGCCTTGAACAACTGTATGCTAGGTGGCGATGCCTGAGCCTAATCCAGGGTCCACATGAAATGCATAAGAGCTCTGGCCGTTGCGCCCCACCAAGGCCTACACAAACCAAAGGAACAGCGGGGAGCCTAAACTCTCGACCCTCATTACTGATGCCATCACCCCACACAAAAGCCCTATGCCTTAATCACGTGTAGTTGAAACCTCATTAAACGGGAAGTTCATGATTGGGTTCCGAGCGTGCAATTTTAGATGAGTTTTTAAATGAATATTTTTTTTAAAAAAAAAATGGTGGTTGGACCTGGTAAGGTCATATTCCTTTAAATAGAATACTATACCCCAAAAGGAGGATATAATCTTACTCTACGTGGGTACCATAGCATCCCCTAAAAGCACTACTCAACACATATATCTGTAGGAGATCTTCGGGCTCCTAATCCCTAAAAGCCCTAAAGCCCAAATCCCCTGCCAGAAAACCCTCCATGCTGCTGTAGGAGGTCTCAGGCCAGGAGGTTTGGGTCCAGCAAGCTGGCCTATCATTTACGGTTTCTTTGGCTGCAGCGAGTGCAGTTTAGGGTCCAGGGATTAGGGTTTAAGGGTTTAGGGTTTTGGGATTGGGGTGTAGGCTTTTAGGGATTGAGTTTGAGGGCTTAGGGTTCAGGAATCGAGATTTTGAGTTTAGAGTTGGGGGTTTAGGATTTAGGATTCAGGATGCAGGTTTTAGGGTTCAGGGCTTAGGGTTTAGGGCTTAAGGTTTAGGGGTTCAGGACTCCCTTTTAACGTTGGTAACTGGGGTGTACAGCGCAAACTGCGGGCAAATGGCAGAGAGCACCAGCACGATAGTGATGCCGGCAATCCAATCACTTGCCAGGTCTGGCCGTGATCTCGGCGGTTTCGGGTTTAGGGTTTAGGGTTTGGGGAGGTGAAGCTTGAGGGTTGTAGGGTTTGCGGGCCATGGGACTGATGGTTGAGTACTTGGGGTTGACGGTGTAGGTGCTGGTCAAATTGCAGGTCCTTCATGACCTTGTGCAAGACTAGCTGCATAGCGCCCATTCAAATCTTGCGCCCATACCTCCTCACAAAAGGGACGGATCCCAATTTGGTTCAACATTGCTAGGTTTAGGCTTCAGGGTGTAGACATACCTCTCCGCATTCCGGCACCTCCTAGGCGTGTAAAACAAGAGGGCATGTATGTAGGCGCATAAATGAGGGTGTAAAGGGCTTGGGGCTTGGGATTTATATACCCACAACACCCACACAGCCACATGTCATGGCTTCAGCTACGACATACCATATGCTCTCAGTGGTTTCGGGCACCTTGTACGTAATGTGTAACCCCCTATCCCCAAACTAAAGCGCTTTAACTCTAAACCCTGAAACCACCTCAACCTTCACCCCGCAGTCGGGGGTTTAGGGCTTAGGGACCTGTATCCCTTCGCCTTAAACCCGAGGGTAAACTCTAAGCCAAGCCTTCAATCTTGAGAACCAGAGCCCCGAATCCTCGAATCTGCTGATGCTAAGTAGGGAATGGAGGAATGCGGTTTAGGGTTTAGGCTTTAGTGAATAGTTCCCAGCTTCCCTTTTATTCCCGTCGCCCTCAACCTGTTTATGTCCAGATGATAATTTCCATTGTCTTTTCTATTCCTAAACACTGAACCCTAAACCCTACACCCTAAACCCTGCACCTTTCGCCAGGACTCCGGTTTTGCCCCGTCGCAACGTCCAGATGGCAGGAGCCCGAGACGGCCAGAAACAGCTGGACCAGTGCGATCCTCATATTTAAGGGCGTTGTTTAGGGTTTAGGGTTTAGGGTCTAGGCTCTGCAGGAAATTTGCAATGAAATCCTGATATCTAAGGCCGCTTGCGCATATGGATATATGGCGATTAGGGCTTAGCGCTTAGCGTTAAGGGCGTTTGGTTTGGATATAGGGATGTATAGGGTTTAGGGTTTAGGCGCTTAGGACCAAGGGCGTCTGGGTGTAGGGATACATAGGGTTTAGGGTTTAGCGTTCAGAGTTCGGAGGACACCTACCCATTCAGCGTCTCTTTGGGTTGATTGGGTTTCAACTTGAGGTACTTGGCTTTGCAGGTACACCGTGGCAGTTGGCACGCCTACTTTTCAGAACATATTATGGGAACCCCAAAAGGTTCAGGGTCTAAGGTCTTGGCTCAGGGCGAAGGAAGGTAGAGCTTATCAGGTTTAGGATTTTAGGGGCCAATACCCTCAACCCTAAACCCTAAACCCTCATAGGGTTTTAAGGCTTAGGGCTACAAAGTGTGGAGGCCTTCTGAGCCTTGGGATATGTAGGGAGGTTTAGGGTTTGGGGGGAGGGTTGAGGGTTTCGGGGTTTAGGGGTTTAGGGTTTGTGGGAAGGTCTAGGGTTTAGGGGGAATTCCGCGTCAAAGAGTGCATAGGGATAAGAATGATCAGAATCTCCCACTGAGACTCTGGTGCTCATGTTGCAGGTTTGAAAAAAAGTTCAAAAAGATCACCTGAACTTTTGGGTTTAGGGTTTAGGATTTAGGGGTTTAGGGTTTAAGGGTTTAGGGATTTAGGGGTTTAGGGTTAAGGCTCCATGAATCAGGATCAGGCTATATTGAGAGTATATATGGGAACCTCAATTGTCTGAAGCCACCCTCCCAAACTAGAACGTTATCCCTGCAACATGGGAATGTGTGGATGGTGCGTGGGAGTGGGATGGAAACTTAACCCTAAACCCTAACCCTAAACTTAAGCCTGGGTGAGTTTAAGGCGTTCTGGTATGCTACGCAAACCAGGCTAGATTAAAATCAGCGACAGGTGGTAGTTTCCATAAGTAGGACCTAGATATAGACACCCTAAAAAATACAATCGTTACGACCCAGGGGTTGCAGGTACAAAATCCAGCCAGGACACCACTGTACCATCAACAGCTGCTGATGTAGAAGCACCCGAAACCTTGGATGATGGAGAGCCCACCGAGCCCCCTACTGAAACGACAGTACACGGTTTAGGCCCAAACCTTTATAACTGAAACCTCTGCGCAGGGGGCATCAACACCAAATCCCAAAACCCAACACCCAAAATCCTAATCCTCATAAGCCCTTAGAAAAAGCCCCACTGACCAAACCGTTGGCCCTAAAGCGCGTAGAGGCTTTGCAAATTGGAACCCGGATCGTAGGCATACATGAGCTATAGTCTGAACTCCTGATATCCCCCTTAGTAACCCCTATAATAGTTCCCTGTTAATCCCGTAAACCCTAAACGCTACATCCTAAACCCTATACAAGCCCCTTTAAAGAGTTTAGAATATGGCTCACATAGGGGTGGAGGATGGTGCAGGGGTAGGGGTTTCTACGGCTTGTAGGGGGCATTCAGGCCCTAGGCTCAAGGAAGAGGGTTTAGGAGCTAGAGTTTAGGGTCTAGGGTTGGGGGGTTTAGGAGATAGGGTTCAGGGTTCAGGGTTTAGGGTCTACGGCTTGGGGTTTGGGGAGGGCTTATTTCAAGAATCTCCCGCAGATGCTGGCAAGAGGCAGGAGACCGGTAACCTTAGATGGCACGTTCTGTTGTTAGGCTTGAGGGTTGGGAATTTGGGGTTTAGGTGCCCCGAACCCAGAACCCTAAACCATGTATATGGCAGTGACCTATTCATGCTGAGCTGGAGATGGATGAATGCCTTCAGGCGATTCCTCAATCATATCTGTCTAAACCCACAACCAGTCCCAAACCCTTAAACCCTAAACCCTTAAACCCTAAACCCCTAAGCCTAAAACAGATCTGAGTTCGCGCCAAAATTGTTATTCCCAGAAGCGGCCGCATCTTAGTTGGGTTTCCCCTATCGGTAAACAGCATTTGTGAGGGGTATCGGTGTTGGGTTTCCCCTATCGGTAAGCAGGGTTGGCGTGAAATTATTAACCATGGCCGCCCGAAGACTAGTTCCTTTCATGGATATTAACGGTTGTGGCTCACATGTTGGGGCGCTGTCTTCACCTCTGCGCCAACAGTTTGAGGTTTCGGGTTTGGGTTTGCTTTTGTCGGGCCATCTTCCATCAGCAAGAATGTACTCCGCATGTCCCCAGGACATGGCCAAAAACAGAGGCGAGAGCCTAGTCTGGGTTGCTGTTAAGGAACTTAAATTAAGTTACTATAATGGGTATATATAGTAAATAATAGGGTTCCTCCAATATAGTAACTTAATTTAAGNNCCTTAACAGCAACCCAGTAGTCCCCTCACCCCCGGTGGTTGAAGCCCTTTTCAAGACACAACTTCACAAAGAAGGCTCAACTATTAGCCTTGCAAGCACGGCAACCATCCCTGCTCAGCTGAACTTGTCCTTGAGGGTTTAAGGTTTAGGTTGTAGGCTTGAAGGTTTAGGATTTTGGGGTTTATGAGTCAAGCATTTGCTACCATCCCGGAATATTGTGAGACGTGTATGGCAGGGTATGTTGGGGGGGATAGCGGCTCGCTGCACGGAATCGAAAGTCCACCCTAATGGTGGATTTGCAACGTGCCGGATTCTATCAGGGCCACGGCAATGAGAATCCCGAGTGCTCACCGCGGAATGCAGAGGATGCTGGCATTGATTCTACCCTGAAACCTATACCCTAACATAATACTCGTCTCCCTGGTGAGATATTAGCGAAAATTAGCGAAGGAATGCGGATGCGCCTGCCTGGTTTCGACAGTTGACCTCAAAGCGTACAGATTTCGCCGTGTACTCCATCTTGCGCATCTCCTAGCCAAGAGGTAACAAGAAAACCATACGGAAATTGTTCATAGGGATTTACTATCAAGGGCAGCAGGCCCATGCCGACAACTGAAACCCAGGCAGGTAAGGCAGCCTTGTGTCGCTGGAGTTTTCTGGATTGCACGGACTATGCAAGTAGGGAATGCCCAAGGAAGGCCGTTGAACATCAAAAGAACTCGTGCAGAAATTGAGAAAGGTCAAGGTACTACGCAGCCAAAGTCTTTTTCAAGCGCATTTTTCTGAAGTGCACCAATGTGAAGGCAAAGTGGAGCAAAACCATAAATATCACCAAGACTTTGGGTTTCGGGTTGCTGCCGATGTGTTCCCAAATCCGAAAAATTAAAAAATAAATGAGCTGCCTCTAGTTCTGTCTTCTGCAAGTGCCATACTTCGGAATTGACAAATTCCACAAAATTATGGAAAATGTGAAACAAAACAAAAAATGGCAGGTACGAGGATTCTGGTACCCCAACCTTTAAGTCACCGAGGTCCATGTTGAGTCCCGAAACCACTTCTTGCAGCGTGCAGGGACAAGCGTGAAATCCATAGCTGAGGTCCTGACGGAATCCGATCATCAGCATTCAAGACACCCCTGAACTAAACATGAGAATGTCAGCATCTAGAATCTTTTCTTCCGAGGGATGGCTGCGGCTACGTCAAAGAGCTGTGGACATATCGAGAATGTCAAACCGGAAACTGACGGCACTATCTGACTCTAAATCACTCCGATTCAAGAAGCTACTGCACAGACACCCGCTTTCTCAGAACCTTGAACCGATATGCCCGAAATCTAGACCTTGAACCGCCCAGAATCCTTGACGTCTAAAATGCAAAACCTTGAATCTCAAATCCTACAAGCCTACGAATGTGACCCACCCATGATTGCGGTACTTTCCCTAAATGGGGGACCCCAATTTCAACCCAATATACTTTCGTCCTTTTTTTTGGGACCCCCAAAGAGGTACCCCCAATTTTGGGAAAGCCCCTTATTTTCTCTGAACCAACCTTGGGTGACATGCAGAAATCGCAGGCTGTCCTTCAAGGGCTTGTTGCTCTGTCCTTAGCCATGGTCACGATTTCAGGGATTAACGTTTTAGAGTTCAGGGTTTAGGGGTTTAGAGTTCAGGGTTTAGGGGTTTAGGGTTTAGGGTTTAGGGTTTAGGGTACACTGGGCCTGCTAGCACGCTGGCACGCCACAGAGACTCAAGGAACCCTTTATATGGAACACCGATAAATGGTCCAAAAGGACCTCTGACCATTATCCTGAGCCAGGTCCTTACAATTAAGTCGATCTGCGAAGGAGGTTGCTCACGGCGTCTCTTCTTATGCGTCTATAGGATCTGACATGTGTTCAAATCCCGACCCAACTTTGGAAGCTTCATGCAGCAAGACTTTAGGTCCACGATGATATAATTTCTCCGGCTAACGTGTCTGTGGCCCGCTGATTTTGGCCTAGCAACGCCACCGCAGCTACCGCCGCCACCGGCCAACCACCGCCGCCGTCACCACGCCAACCACCACCCCAACCACAACCGCCGCCGCCACCCCAACCGCTGCCGCCGACACCGCCGCCGCTGCCACCGCCACCCCCACCACCACCACCACCGCCACCACCTCCACCACCACAAGCACAAGCACTACCACAACCACAACCACCACCAAAGCGCAACGCGGGTCTGTCGCCAACCCGAAACCCCGCATGCCTAGACCCCAACCTGTCTTCCTGAACCTCCAGCCTCTACCCCTAGATCCCGACACCGCCACCCTCCAAGCTTCCGAGGGTAATGTCCAGCATCTCAAATCGCCCTGAGCTACAGCGCCGCGAGGCCGCCAGAGAGCGGTTGGAGGGCGGCTTCACACGGACCTCCGGCTTAGGCTGTCAGGGCTTTGAGGGGTTGCGGCTTTGGGTGGATAGGGTGCAAGTGAAGGGTTCGGGATTCAGGGTCTAGGGTTCGAATGGTTAAGGATCTTGGGGGTGAGGATTTCCGGCCTCGGATCCCAGCACTGAATCCAAAGCCTATTTGCATTGCAAGTTTCTTGGCACGACAAAGAAAGGGGAGGCTGGTTCTGGTATGAAGCCGTACCAGTTTGTACTCCAAAAGACAACAGCTGGCCCACAACCCTGCACCTCAAAACAGATAACAGCAATCCAGCGGTACAACCCCAAAAAAAAATCCTGGAAGCCTTGCATGCAAGCTCCGGGAAAATAGCTCAACCGCTTTGACAGAAGCTCCTGGAGTACTGAGGGGGCTGCAGTTGCAATGGGCACGTCATCTGGAAAGGTGACCATGAAGTAGTCAAACCACTGCTGGTCATACTGTGGTCCTGTGGGTTTAGGGTTTAGGATTTAGGGTCGGAGTAAGGAGCACCTATAACCTCGAAGAGGAAACGAATATCCAACCATCACCAACACATCCAAATCCTCACCAATGTCAGGTTAAGGCCATCATTGTACAGGGAATCTAGAAGCACAATGTTGGAAATCTTTCTGAATTAGAATTCTGAATTTCCGGCCCTTATGTTGCAGATTATTGCAAGCCCTAAAACACCTACATGATGCCTCCACTTCATTCTCAACATTCTTTTCCTGATATGGGAGCTTTCCTGAATTTGTAAGGGTTCTTTGGGGTCCTTATCAGGTCTTGTGTATGAATGATTTGGAGAAGCTCCCATATGCAGATGCCCCAAAGTATATTCCTTGTTACGAGGACTACCCAGAAAGAGGCTCCAAATTTTGGAAACTCCCATGTAGGAACCTCAATGAAGCAGCAATGATCATAGTCAAAGCCGAGCCTCCAGAACCCCTAAGGGTTCAGGGTTAAGGATTTAGGGCTTTGGGGTCAGGGTTTAGGGTTAAGGGTTTAGGGTTCCTAAGGGTTCAGGGTTAAGGGTTTAGGGTCCTCCGCCCTCAAACACTTGGTCTGGTAACAACTTATTGCTGAACAGTTTTACCAGCATCAAACACTGCATCCCAAGGATACCAAGGCGTGATACCGATTATGTGAGCCATTGTCTAAACTCCTAGTATCCCCCTTAATAATGGAGAATCAAATGGAAAAGAAAATGGAAAATGAAATGGAAACTGGGATTATAGAGCGGATTCTAGGGGTTATAGTCTAAACTCCT